ATTCTCTGCCGGCACCCGGTGGAATAACTGCCCATTCCACCAGGAGTGCAGCCACTTCGGCGGCCTGGGCCACACAAGCCCCCATTGCTGACATTTGTAGGGCAGCCACCTGGGCCTCTCCGTCCCCGTTTATCAGGCATTACAAGATCGATACGTATGCCTCAGCTGAGGCCTCCTTTGGCCGGCGGGTCTTACAGAGGGTTGTCAATGATCCGGAGGGGCCTTCGGGCCAGACGGAGTCCCACCCATAGGACAGCCAAGCTTTGGTATGTCCCACAGTCTGGATGCTCCGAGCGGCTCGAGGGAGAATGGGGCGTTGGTCCTTACCTGATACGCCCCTTCTAGGCGAGCCGCGAGGAGCATCCAGCCCCACCCTAGCATCTCCGTCTGGTGGGGACTCCTGTTTTCAGCCAAGGAGCCAATAGTTGATTAGATAGGATTAATAACTTCTCTTCTCGTTATCGCAAAAAACTGGGGAGACGCTGCGCGATGCCACGTGGGAGGGGCGGAGCGTTTCCTCGTCTAAAGCTCAGCCTGAAAGAAGAGGACTCAGAAGCACATCCCACAGTCTGGATGCTCCTCGCGGCTCGCCTAGAAGGGGCGTATCAGGTAAGGACCAACGCCCCAATCTCTTTTAAACTGTAATCAAAATGATTAGCACAGTATAAGTCATAAGAAACTGAATATTTGCAATAAATATTCACAATTTCATAAATCAATAATTCTGTTTTTTTCCTCTTGCACATATATAACTACAGATAGCCCTTGACTTGTGACAATAATTGAACCCAACATTTCTGTTGTTAAGTGAGACATTTGTTAAGTGAATTCTGCCCCATTTTACGACCTTTCTTGCCATAGTTGTTAAGTTAAGTTACTAACATGGTTGTTAAGTGAATCTGGCTTCCCCATTTACTTTGCTTGTCAGAAAGTCACAAAAGGGAATCACATGATCTTGGTACACAGCAATTATTATAAATATGAACCATTGGCCAAGCATCTGAATTTTGATCATATGATAATGGGGATGCTATATCAGCCGTAAGTATGAAAAAGGGTCATGTCACTTTTTACAAAGTTAAATTGTAACAACGGTTATTAAATGAACTGTTGTAAGTCAAGGACTACCTGTACATGCACATATGGAGGTCTTTTTGTGTGTGCATATTATCACAAGCATAATCTACTAGCTGAGGATAGCAGAACTGACTTTTAGATAAAATTCTAAAAAAGGATTTATTATCATCCTGAATGTGGTGCTACAGATAATCACTGAGAAAAATTGACTTTCCCTTTTATAAAGCAGGAATGTCATACTTAAAATAGTTTTGCCTAAGATACTTCCAAATACTGAAGCCAAAAGATAAATATTATATATTTATGTATAAATAAACTTGTCGGCATCTATTTTACATAGGAAAGCTAAAAGTATGTTTGACCTGTCTTTCATCAATAACCTTTGCTTTTTACAATGCCTCTTGTAGCCAAATTCAGACACCTTTTTTGTATTGTGTTTCTTAGTTTCATTTTTCTCAGCTATTATAGTAGCTCTTTTGTATTTTTTAGCTGCTGTAGTGTTGCATTTGTAATAACTTTTTAGCAATTGCTAGCCAGACTTTATTATTAAAAATAATATTCTTTACTCTTGAAATAATGTTCTATTGCATTCATTTTATTACAAAGATTATGTTGCTCCAGTCATTTTGATTCCAAGCAGTTTGCAAGAAGCAAAATACAGATACTATAATCATAACAAAATAAACAAAATATCAAACGCATAATTCTATCACCATAAACCTCATAATGATTTAAAATATTATGTTCCATTACAAATTTATTACATTAATCAAAATAGTATTGCTTTACAAGACCACCTTGAAAACAAGGTTGTTTACTAGTATGTTATGCAATGTAATAACAGTGTTAAGGGATTTAATCACATGTAAAATTTCCCAAGGTGGTTAAATGACATTATTGAGTAGGTTAATAGGCATTTTCTAGAAACTGTTTACAATTCCTATGTTAACATCACGGCGCTATAATTCAAACATAGTAAGATAAGTAATTGTTGTCAATTAAGCTTGCATTTAGAAAGTTTTTGATTCTTGTATGTCTTTGCTAATATCAGTCTGACTCTAATAATTTATGTAATGTTTTATATAGGAATTTATACTGGCTTTTTTTTCATTTAAAATCCCTGAATATTCTGCTATAATAATTTGCTATAATGGGCAGGTAACTGTTCTATCATCTGAAATTATTAATATCTTTTTGAAGAGAATGGCTTATAAATCCATACATAAGTGGAATAGAAGATGAGTTTGCCCTTTTTAGCCTTTATATATTTACCTCAGGGAAGATTGTGTCCTTTGCTTCTGGACTTATAAATTTTATCTACCTGTTCAAGAAAACAGGATATATGTCCAATAATTATAATCACTAACTTAAATTTTATGTTTGACATAATAATTTTCAAAAAGCAACTGTATTAAAGGGCTTTTATTATCTGTGGGTTAAAAAATAGTTGGTATGATCAGGGGTGAGATGCTGCCGTATAACAACCGGTTCAGTGCACACGTGCTTTGCACATGCGTGCGTGTGAACAATACAAAAATCCTTACCTGCTATGTTACTTTGGGGGAGTAACACAGATGAGGAGCGGCAATCCACTCTTCCACCCTAATCAGCTGAGGCGATAAAGGTCAATAAAGCACAGGGGCAGCCAGGCGATCCCACATGATCTTCGGAGCTAGTGATTTGCCCGAACTGGTCCAAACAGGCAGAATTCCACCGCTGGATATGAGTATAAAATCTAAAAACAAAACAAACTGTGCTGCTTTAGAGGGAAAATGAAGTGTAAAAAGCAATAATACCATGTTCTCATCTACTAAATGATCTATATAGAATTTGTTAGCACTTTAGAAAATCTTGTAGTTTTGTATTATTCTTTCTTTCAAATTTGTAAAAAAGTTCATATATAAAAGTTCATATATAAATGTATTTAAGGTAGATAAGCTAACAGATATTTTAAATATGAAGTTGGGAGTTGCTAAATGTAAGAATTGAAATCAATGGAAGTAACAGGTATGCAGACAAATACCTTTTTTTAACATTACCGAGGATTAGATGTGAGTTTGTGTACTCATCTCATGTGACGGAAAACTCAGGTGCTATACTGCAAATGCAATATTGTTGCATCCAACCATTTGAATTTAGACATAAATGAAAATGCTTTTTTCCACCCAATTATCAAGCAATTATATGAATTTCTATCCCATACTAAAATGCTAAAAATGATGCATATATTTAAAGTGTGCAGATGCTGGAATATGGGATGGGATATTGTTTGCTATAAGCAATGAATGTACAAGACTGATCCTTTTCCCACTTTACTGTATGGTATTAAAACCATAGCTGGAAATAGGAAGAGGGTAGAAATCATTAAATGCAATGTGAATGGAATACTTCAGAAATGTGGGTACTAAAATATAAATAAGTAAAATGAGTGTGTTCTATGTGTATTGCATATAAAGTGGATGACCATTGAGTATTTTGAATATATATGAATGAAGATCAAATCATAATAAAATTATAAAATAAAATCATATATGAAGAGTAAGAGGAAAGGGATAGATGAAAAAGATGATGTTGGTGAACTTTAGATCCTCAGAAAAAGAAAAGCAGCAAATTCAAGAAATAAAATACAAATTATATTTGTTGTATAGATGCTGAGAAAAGTATGAAAAGCTATAGTAAATGGTATTGATGCAAATGAGGTCTAGGTAGATTTCTTTCCCTCTCATTTCCTGAGATTTCTTTACCTCTTATTTCCTGAGTCCAGGGAAGTTCTTTGAGTATTTTCACCAATATCATTAATTGGTTTTGGCCAGTATCTGATCTAATGAATCTATTCTGAGTTACTACATCATCTTAAACTGTATATTCACTGTAATAAAAAGTATTGTGTCATTGAAGTGACTTTAAATAACAACAAAGGAAAACATTTCTAAAATACATCACTAGAATACATTGTGTACAGTACTTATTTACCATTGTGCAAATACTCCCTTTGAAGATTTCTCAGCAGTTATATTAACACAGGAACTTTTGTTGCTAACAATAAGGCTGATTTGACAGAACTATTCAAATGATGAATATGCCTATGATCAAACCTAAACAATAAAACAGAGAATGATCATGCTCTTTGAAGGCAATGGCTATTATAGTCTTAAATATCTTGAGAGTATCAGGTGATAGTTCATAAGGTAGAAGGGCTGCTTCAGAGAGTCCAGCCCTTGTTACAGAGGTGGGCTGCTGCAGGTTCAGACCAGTTCACTCGAGCCCTTTGTTCCGATTCTGTGCGGTTTGGAGAACCAGCAAAGTGCACCACCAGCTGGCCCTGGCCCTGTCTGTTTTCAGGCCATTTTTGGCCATAAAAACAGCCTGAAAAGGGTTCCAAAAATGGCCTCAAAATGGCTGAAAATGGATGACGGCGGGGCCAGCTAGTGATGGGATTAGCTCCAACTGGCTGAATCCTACCTGTTCCTTTGAGGAGGGTGGCCGGGAATCGGGGCTGGGTGTGATGAGTGACATGCCACACCTACCCAGCCAGAGGAACGGTTGTTAAAAAATTTGCAGCTCACCTGTTAATATTCACATTACAGAAAAGAGCATTAAATAGCCTTGATTTAAGTAAAAGTGAATCAAAGAGCAGTAAATAGCCTTTTACCTTGATTTAAGTAGAAATGAATCAGCCAGCAGAACTGATGTGGCTACCTGTTTATCCTATTTCTTTTTAAACACTGACTTTAAGAACTCTGTGTCAGTGACGCTCAAGCAATATAACCCTTATCAGTTGATTTTTTTTTACCTTTATCAGTTGATTTAGGTTAATCTTTTCTTCTTACAGTATATATGTTTCATTATGAAATGTAACCAATTTTTATTTATATACTATATTTATATATCTCATTGACTTTTCTTTTCTTTCTGATTTTCAGGGACAGGCACTTTTGGGAGAGTTCACCTGGTGAGAGAGAAGGCTGCTAAATGCTACTTTGCATTGAAAGTAATGAGCATTCCAGATGTTATTCGGCTAAAACAAGAACAACATGTACACAATGAGAAATCTGTTTTGAAAGAAGTGAATCATCCATTTCTGATCAGATTGTAAGCTTCATCTTCTTAGTTCAATCACAATCAGTTGTCGCAGTCAAAATCTTTGAGTGACAAATTTGCACTTTCTAAATTCCACTTCTATAAATTTTGAATGGAAACCAAGAATGATTTACCTTGAGTAGACTTTTGTGACAGTTGACACTACAGTTATTCCTTTTTTAGATAAGGAATGACTACATGAATGAAAGTTCATGCTTTCAATAAATAACATTACTCCCATTTTGAATGTGCTCTCACAAATATAGCAGTTTTATTTGAATTGGCACTTTTCTTCATTAGAAGGAAATAATGGAGAGATACTTATAAGCTTCAGGAAAAAAATGGTTACATATTCAGTGTTTTAATAAAGTATTTGCTGATAAGTGCATTGTGTTACAGTGCACAAAATACAATTCCCTCTGTTTGAAACTACAGGAAATCTGTTTCTGTATATGGCTCATTACTTTTTTAAAAATATCTTGTGGTAATGGGTGGAGTAATGCACACTACCGGAAATGTCAGAATTTCACAAGTTAAACTATAAACAGAGGAGTTATAAGTACATATTGCAAAAGTAATTTCAACATAACAAGATTATATCCTGATAAGATGAAACTGACAAAAAGAACAAAGGATAGCAAGCTCAGTTAAAAATGCAGTTCTTGCCTACCAGTAATGACACTGAGAAATAAACATGTAAAACTGATGGCAGAATTAATTTTGTACAGGTTATATTTCTGAGTCCTCAACCATTTTTTTTCCTTCAAATTGTCAATTCATTGTTAAGAAGTGAATGAAGAAAAAAATAGAAGTACACTGGAATAATAAATTTATTGGACTATTTCCAGCGATAGTTTTATGCTAATGCAGGATCTGGCAAGCTGTGGCTATTTGGATCTTGTCATTTATGGTGATTAACTGTGTTGATCCAGTGCTGAAACTTGGACTTAAAAATTTCTAAAACCTATATGGCTACTACTCCTGTCTACTCAATTGTTTGTCCATATCTTTAGGCAAAACAAACCTTAAGTTTTTTGTGTTGAATATTTTCTGAAATAGGTAATATTTTAAAGATGGAAACAAAAGGGAATGATAGCAAAAACAGCTGCAAATATCCTCTCTTGTTGTTTCCTTCTTTAATAAATATTCAATGGGATCTACCCAAGGACAGCTTTGTATAAACGACAACTATGGAAGGTATTTAAATTGAGCCAAACCCCAAATCTCAAAATGGTCTAGGATATTCTGAATATTCTATACCAATATTTTCATAGTAGAGAATGGACTTTATTTTTCTGCCAGAACATTTCGTTTTTAATTGTTTCAATTGCATAATTGTGGAATTGGGAAATCCTGCATCAAAAATAAAAGCAAAAATAATACAAAAAAAATCAGAAACAAAAATTTAAAACATGTAACAAGTTTATAAAAACACATTACAAAGATAAAATAAAATGGATATGGAAATCATGTGTTTTTACTTGGTAACATTCTTGTATGGATAACTTGCTTTCCTAGAATAATATTTGGTGTTACATCCCTGCTAAGATTATTTAAAAAGTAATAACATTTTAATGTGATGGATCTGTCCTCAATGGAAGAGTTGGACACTGATCCTTATGATTATTTTTACTACGTCTTGTGAAACTGAACTTCAGGGTTCTTTTCGCCTTCAGCTGAAGCTCTTATTCAGAGCTTCATATATTTAAATGTTTGTAAAGCATATTTTTTACTTACTTGTTTAACTGGGTTCTCTTTATCTAGTCTTATGACGTGTGGAAAAGAAATCATATTTTGGGTCAAATTTTTGCAGCAATATTGAACATTCAAAGGGTTCACAAACTTTTAAACAACACTATAAATATACAGAGAATTTCATACAGGGAATGCATATTAAATTTTAATACAAGTGGAGAAATTCATGTATGATTCTATGTCCTCAGTTTGGGAATTGTATCATTTATGGAAAGCTTTGACCCACTCAGCAACTTTGTATTTCATTTAACTCTTCTTTTGTTCTCTGGTAATTATACTTCAACCTTGATGCAGAATCACAGAGACTTGGTGAATTAAGCATCTATCTTTTTAAATTAATCTTTAAAAATTGCAGTGATTATGTTTCTGTACTTGGCTTCTGTCAGCTGGTGCTCCATTCAAAATCCAAGAAAGAAATGCTTAGACTCCATTAATTAGAGAAAAGATATCTTTTACTGGAAATCAAGTGGTAGCAACAAAGGAATTCTGAATCTGAGAAAATGGGCGCGTAAATCACATATACAAAGTAATGGCAACGTTCCCACCCCCAATAGTTAAATTGGCTCATCCAATTAAAAGTTGTGTATACCATCATGTGGGCATCTCCAAGTGGTGATGAGGTCTCTGTCCGTTGACCCTGACATATTTTGATAAAGAGTTGCATCTGCGCATAGCATAGGATAGAAGCCTAAGCAAGAATCTACCCCGCCCAGCTTATACAGTTCTGTTTTGTAACACCTCCAGCTCACTTCCCATAACCATATCCTCCCCCCTCCCCCCGTTACTTATGACAGCCGAAAGAAAGGAGAAAATCTTGAAGGCTGACAGCTTCAGACTTCTTTGCTCCTTTGCCTGTAAGTGTGTAGAACTCCCTTTCAAGACCAAGCTGAAATGTTTCTGTCAACATTTAGTCATATTATGAGAAAACCCAGTGGTTTTATTAGAGGCCCTGGAATAAAAAAAAGTATTTTAAGATTTCTAAGTCTCAGCAGTATTAGATCTTAATTGAAATTAGGCAGTAGTAAACACTCAGTTTGAATCTTACAAATTCTAAGTCTTTAAATAATTGTCTTTACTAATATGTTGAATTGTTTAAAATTTCTGAAAAACTAAGTGTGTTTTTATTATTCCAGATATTGGACTAATCACGATGAACGATTTCTATATATGTTGATGGAATATGTACCAGGAGGTGAACTTTTTAGCTATCTACGCAATATGGGACGCTTTAATAACGGCACTGGACTATTTTACTCTGCAGAGATAATTTGTGCAATAGAATACCTCCATTCAAAAGAAATTGTTTACAGAGACTTAAAACCAGAAAATATTTTATTAGACAAAGAGGGGCATATCAAACTCACAGACTTTGGCTTTGCTAAAAAGCTTGTTGATAGGTAAGTTATTTGATGCTGACCTTGACTTCTTTACAGGGCAATATGGGGAAATGGGTAGAGAAAGTGATTTTTTTCATCAAACTAATAGCATTGAACATACAGTGATTTGTACTGTTTGTTTCAACCTTCCTAATTGAAGATTCCTAGCACACATTAATTAATTGATTATATGCTGTCAAGTCAATATCATCTCTTAACCTGATCCTTCAACTATTCCAATGCTACACCTATCCTCTGTAACAGTCCATCTACCCAGCTACTCGTAATCCTCTTCTTTTGTTTCCTGTAATACACATACATAATTAAAAACATTCAAGTAATATTTTTCCAAGTGCAGATGCATAAAAAGAAGAAAGCTGTACTAGCTTAAAAGTGTAATAAACTAAAGCTTATATCAAAGCTTTAAATTTATTTAAATGACCTTAGAAAATTTTAATCATACATCAACATTTTTATGTTGTAACAAAATATTGTAAAGAAAGCCAAACATCAACGAAGGCAGACCATTCCATAATAAGGTCATTCAATTAATTAATTTAGAAATCTTTGAATATTGATTTTTGAGAAATTTAAAAAAAAATATTTACTATAATTGAATAAAAGTTTTTTCTTCAATTAAAATAAATATATTCAAATTGAGTTACTGAAATCTTATTTCACAATTTCTTGAATGATTTTCCTACTTTTCAGCTTTATTCTCAGTGTGCTTAAGAATTTACTTCAAATTTATCTAGTGTTTGAACTTCCATGTTTTGATATCCAAGTTTAATTTAGCTTCATTGGCACAAACAGACACTTGCCATTTACAAAAAAGAATCAGTTTATTTAAATACTAAAAATTCTCTCGTCCCCACCCTCACTCTCAAAGGAGAATGCTTAGTTAAGTGATCTAATTGCATAGTTCAGAGTGCTTGAGAAAAATTCCAGTGTGAAAAGGGGATTAATAATATTAAGTCAGTTCAGTACATACAGAAATTCTTTGTACAAGTATTTCAAACCATCTGAATGCTGAATAAACATTTTACTTGTCATAATGGTAAAGCGGATTTAAAAATAAGGCTATGGATCACACAGTGGACAATTTTTTGCACAGAACAAAATATTGTGAGCAAATTAATGTTTTTGTATCAGTTTTACCTTCTAGCTAGATAAAGAGTTGTGAAGGCATTTATTTCATTCCTCAGCACAATTGTGTTTAGAAACATTGTAACAGTATATATACTCTTATGTTGCATTAAACACTATAATTTGCTGTTTTACTCATGTGAAGATTCTATGGCTATAGCTTAAAATGAGCAGAGACAGATTATTATAAGTCTGTAGTTCAATTTTGATTATATTGCTTCTTTTTTATTGAATTTTATTTTCATTTTTTCTTTATTTTCTTTATTTTACAGTGTAACCTTTGTCCAATAAATATTGTTGCTAAATAGTAAGTTGCTTAGCTTTATGTGGAAGAATCTTGTTCTAAAGCAGTGTTTTTGAAATCTGGAAACTTTTAAGATGCACTGGCTAGAGAATTTGGGGAAATGAAGTCCACATATTTTAAAGTTGCTATGTTTGAGAAATGCCTATGGAGATTCTACTCATCCAGGTCATGATTGTCCCAAGGGTGCTTTTTCAAGAGGCAACTGGACTTTCTTGTTTTTCTTTGAAGATGTTTTGCTCCTCATCCAAGAAGCTTCTTCAGCTCTGACTGGATGGTGGGGAATGGAAGAACATACTCCTTGCAGACAGCTGGTCATTTGCATTCTTTTAGAGAATCACTAAGGTCACCTGGATGTTTATCTGTGTCATCAGGGTCACCTGAGTAGTGCAAATGGGTGTGGAGCCTTCTTGGAACTGTTGAAAGGTCTGTGTTATAGACTGGAGATTGATGATGCCGCATCACTCCCCCTCAGTTGAGAAAGGGCTGTTCAATTTTGACATAGCTGGCCTCTTTGACCACTCTTTCAACCAGCTGTCCTCTCTATCCAAAATGTGGACTTTACTGTCTTCAAAAGATTGACCTTTGTCTTTTAAATGCAGATGGACTGTTGAATCTAGTCCAAATGGGTTTGTTCTCCACATGTTGTACCATGCATTTATGAAGTTATTTCAATGAATACAAATGAGCAGCTGTCTGCAAGGAGTATAAATCTGTCCTTTCTCCACCATCCAGTCAGAGCTGAAGAAGCATCTTGGATGAGAAGCAAAATGTCTTCAAAGGAGAACAAGAAAGTCCAGTTGCCTCATGAAAAAGCACCTTTGGGATTTTTGTGAAACACTTTTCTAAGCACATATAATATAATTAAAGATTCAGAATTCAAAATTCTATTCATCTGATATGTAGACTTTCCTGAAACTGTCATGGTAGGGAAGAAGCAACTGCTACAAGACAGCCCTTTGGGTGACAGGACCAACCTCAGCCCAGACCGTATATGTGCCATGCTGGATCTCTGCCTGACCTTTACCTATTTTAAATACAGTGAAGGTTTCTACAGACAAAATTGTGGCCAATCTCTATATGGAAGAAGTAGAAACCAAAGCCCTAAACTCCTTCACCCACTCATTGATATAGTGGGCCTTCGTCAAATCCCCAAAGGACCCAGTAGGAGCTCCTCCATAACAGATAAGAAAGCTGTCGTTTCATACTTTGCAGAATTATCTGAAAAGCTCAGGAGGGTCTTCAGCCAACACAACTTATCTGCACATTTAAACCCAAGAATATTGTGGTTCGCCGGCACCCTGTGGTATCGGACAGTGGGAAAGAACAGGGTCCATTCAGGAGTCTGGGGGAGACTTGGACTGGGGTCCTGCATCTGATGCAGAGATGGGGCCAGGACCATCTGGGAGTTGTGTGCTGACTCCGGAGCCTCCAGAGTCTGGCAGCAGTGAGGCAGAGGAACAAGGGGAGCCTGTTCCCAGTGCGTGTGTGCACAGAGCTGCTAGAAGGCAAGAGCAGCTAAGACAAAAGGGGCTATTCTGGAGTAAGGCTTGGAGGTGATTGCCCCTCCCCCAAGGTATAAAGGAAGTGCAGGGGTAGAGAAACTTTTGCAAGAAGCAAAGTTGTTCGCTCTGTTCATATTAAACCTGGAAGCTCTATGTGGACTTTGTACTTTGGTTGGTTTTTTACAGTTAATTTGGCACTTTAGTTGTTGGCAGCAATTCAAAGGATATAAAGGTGGGTGCTTATTTTGAGAGACTGAGACTCATTACGGCTGGGAATGAACATAATTCCCAGCATTGAAATGAAACGAGTTGTTTGGACTAACCATGTGCTTCATTACGGTCTCAGGAAGCCTTGGTCAGAATAAAGAATACACGAAGGCAGAAGCTTTTCCACTGCAAGGATAAAACACCCAGACACAAAGCAATGTGGTACATACAGTACAATGCAGTAAGACATATGCATTGGCAAAACAAAACAACCACTTCATAAATGCATAGCACCATATAGGAGAACTAACCCATCAAGAAAAGATTCAGCAGGCCATTTGCATTTAAAAGACAAAGGCCATTGTTTTGAAGTCAGCAAAGACCACATTTTGGACAGAGAGGACCACTGGTTTGAAAGAAGGGTCAAGGAGGCCAGCTATGTCAAAATTGAACAGCCCTCTCTCAACAGCGGGGGAGGGATCCCATATCATCTATCCAGTCTACAACACAGCCCTTTCAGTAGTTTGAAGAAGGCTCCACACCCATTTGCACTACTCAGGGTAATCCTGAGGACACAGATAAATCTCCAAGTGGCCTCAATGACTCTCTAAAAGAATTGCAAATGACCAACTGTCTGCAAGGAATATAAATCCTTCCATTCAGTCAGAGCTGAAGAAGCTTCTTGGATGAGAAGCAAAATGTCTTCAAAGAAAAACAGGAAAGTCCAGTTGCCTTTTGAAAAAAACACTTTTAAGATAACTCCTATGAAACTTATCAAATTTGGTACTCAACTCATTTTGATGTGAATATTTTATCCCAGTATTCATCATTTGTTTGGTACACATAAGCTAGAACATATAAGTGTTAGGTGCCTTGTGACTTACTACATTATTCCTTATGGGAAAAATTGTTTGGTATTCATCCTTTTTTATACTCTTCGCACCTCTCAAAACCAATTAGCAATGAGTACCAACATACCACTGTAATTAAATAGCTTGTTTCACATTAGCATAAGGTAAACTTTTCTGAAATAACTTCCCCTCTGTCTTTAACATTCAGCAACATACAGCCATATGAAACCTGGTTCTATACTATAGAATTAACTCCAGGATTCTCTGAAATATACATGAATGTTTCAGCATATCAAATTATATGAAAAGTGTACCTGGATGGTAGGAAATGTTAAGATGATTGCTATATTTGTGCCAGTTAGCCAAGTTACACTATACATATAGTTACACACACACACACACACACACACTTATTTAATGTGGATAGAGTAGGATCCTAGGAACATAAAGAATGACAAGTTATGGTTCTAACAATCATAATTTTTGATTCACTAACAGCCATAGAAGAAATTTTGGATTTCATATCCCGTCATTGTGTAGGTTGTGAAGTTGTCGGTAGTAGAATAGAATAGACTTAACAGCATTAACAGTTTTCCACAGGGATACATTTACCAAAATGTTTTTAATTTTTTTTTTACATCCAATTTTGTGTTTGTTTTATATGACCAAGATTACATTCCATGAATATTAACAGTATTGCATAGTATCATTTATATGGAGATTTGTTGTAATTCAGATTATATAAAGGAGAAATCCTTGCATTACAAGAGAATAACAAATAGTTTCTGACTGTATTCTTTATTATGAGATCGAACTCTCTGAATTATCTTCCAATGCATTCTTACCCTGTGTTAATGGCTGTTCTACAAAGTTATCTGAAGTGTTCATTCTCCCTAAATAGTCACTGCAGATTTCTGTAATTGTCCTGAGGAGTGGAAGAGAATAAAGTGGGAATGTAAATGACTAAAGAGCACTTTGTGCTTGATTCAGGCTGTTGACATCCTGTAGCATCCATCTATGTTTGTTTTTAAAGGATATGAATAACCAGTGTTTAAAGACTTTCTATTAGGTTTATGGAATGCCATCCAGATGATGTCCTCCAGGTTATGAATGACTTGACAAACCTGGTCTCTCTCTCTCTCTGCGGGATGAATCATCACTTGCCTATATGACTTTTTCAGCTGCCTGGCATACTACAATTTTAATTATATGCATAGTTTCTTGGGTATACATTCTATTGAACAGAAAGACTATCTTCTAAGGGACCAAGCCTAAGATTGCTCTGTAAATTATTTACATGTGACTGAAAGACTTAGGATTGTTGGTTGAAACACAGACTCAAATCCAACATAACATATAAAAGGCTCATAATATATGCAAAAAGTATGAGTCTTCCTTCACAATTGTCTTCGTCTTTCATCTGTTCATATTGCCACTATCTTGTGGAAGACATTTTTTTCTGTGAGATATTAAGATAAACAAGGATAGAATTAAAAAGCACAAAGACAACATCATGGGAAGTGTGTACGTGTATACAATTATATAGTGATTAAAGTATTGCATGAGAATTGGGCAGACCTAGATTCAAGTTCACCATCAGCCACAGAAATTCCCTTGGTAAATCTGATCACTCTGTCACCCAAATCCATCTGTTCTGGTGAAGATAAAATGGTGATTGAGCTGTTTTTTTTTTCTAGAGAAAAGGTAGAATATAAATCTTATAAAATATTGAGAAATATTTCAAATAGAATGTGAATGACAAATATGAATTAGCAGCAGATTGTACTTCCCAGTCCTATATGGATTTCTAAAAGAAAAGGAAATAAAAAGGTAGAATTGATTAATATATTCTGTAACTTAATTGCCAGTCTCCCTAATCTCCCAAAATGTCCACCCTAATCTCCCAGTAGATCAATATTTCATCTATCCTATTCTTTTTGAATAAATCAGGCGAATGAAAAGAGCACTACTTTTCTTCCATAGATGGTGTAGTTCAAAGTGAACATAACTTATATGGTTGCAGTTCTTACTGATTTCATGACAGTAGATGCGATAGAATTCCACATGGATGAGATACAAAAAAACTACAAATATGCTAATGGAGGAAATTTTGCTAGTGAGAGGAAACATTATTTCATGCACACAGTATACAAAATTAAAATTTACAATGTGATGAACTTGGGAGGTTCCCTTTATCTTTAAATGGGCAAGTCATAATTAAAATACTGTAGGAATTGATTGGGTACATTAGGCTCAAATGAAAACAGGTCATACTTCCAAATGACTAAGATACCATTAAAAAAATGTATTCCTTACTGAACTATCCTAAAAAATAGTCTAGACAATGTGAAGACAGATGCCTGTTGCCTGGAAACTTGCAAAATCTAAGCAAAAAGTATTTCTATTTTTGTAGTCAGAAAAGTTGAACAAGAGAAAATAAAGTATGACAATAGTTGCAACAGTAACATAAACCTGCACTGATAAAGTCTATACAGAAGATATATTTGCATTTATTTGAAGTCAGATTTAATCTAGAATAAATTAGGTAAACGGAATGCTGAAATCCCTGATTAAATAATAACAAGCATTGCTCATAGGTTTTTAAAATCATTGATTATTTCTTCAATGTGATTACTTTTGTCATACAGCATTTTTGCATAGGGAATACAGATTTGTTATGTACCTATAACTGTTGGTTTTTATTTTATTATGGAGCCTTATATAATTTATTTATAATAATATTTGTTGTATTGCATTTTGCTTTTCTTTAGGACGTGGACACTCTGTGGAACACCAGAATATCTTGCACCAGAAGTCATACAAAGTAAAGGTCATGGAAGGGCAGTAGACTGGTGGGCCCTGGGCATACTGATATTTGAGATGTTATCTGGGTAAGGAAATCTGCAATTAAGAAAATGCAAATGTCTGAAATATTAATCTTATATTGTATGTAAAAGCAGTTTTGCACAGAATAAACTTGTATTTGATATCAAATACAATAAATATGCCAAATTTAACATTGTGTGACAAGAAGATTTCCTCCCCCCCCCCTCCCAGTCAAGCTATTATATATAAAATCCAGCAAACCTCACTCTCTTAAACATTAATGAAGTTATCTACCCTGGTAATGAAATATCTACAGGAAAACAACGAAGCTGAGAAAATTACCAAGAAAGCAACAATATTATACATTGCAATACATAAATATAGTTAATGAACAATGTATTTAGGATCGGACCCAGTTCCAGGGGAATTTTTCTTAAATATATAAGGTACTCAGTATATTAAGATAATCTTATATGTTGTGTTTCTGATTTTGTATTTATCAAATAACAAAATATTGCTAGCTTGTTTTGCCTGTTGGGTTGAGAATGCTGCCAATTTAGTTTCCAGCATTTTAGTTGAGTTTTTTTCCCTATGGGTCCACATAGGGGAGAAATTGAATGTTATATGATCCTAGCTATACATTTAATCCATTAAGTTGTAGCATTCTCAGAGTAATATGTAGATGATCTCCTTGTTTTATTGAAGCATTGTGAGAATTAAGACTTACAACATATTTCCAGGGCCAAAAGTCCAGATACTTAGTTTGGATTTGGAACGGAATGTTTTTTCTTGTTACAGTTTCTTGACAATGACACGAAATAGATTACTTCCACACTATCTTTGAAAGAAGTTGTAGGAAAATGCATTTTATCTTATCGGTTTCGAGTTAATGGAATTTAAAATTATTCTTGTAGAAGAAAGTATCTTTTACAATTGAATCAATTCTATCACAAAGCAACAAGCACATAAAATCAAGGCATTATTGTAGGAACTTTATAAAAGCTTGAGGGTTACGGTGCTTTGCAGCATCTCCTTATGTATGATTTTAAAATGTTTTGGTTTATTTTAAAGTATTATTTATAAGCTCTCTCAAATCTAATTAGGTTTCACAGAAGCATATACACTGTTAAAATGAATAACTATAAAATATTTGTACGTATTTCACAGTTCTTCAAGCATACAGTTTTGTTTAAAACTCTGCTATAAACATGCATTTTAATTTATGGTAGTCAGTAGCTTGGTAACTTTGCATATATCTTTAGATGTCATGTATATAATTCACAGCTTGCCACATGGCCATTGAATATTGTAGCATGAGACAAGAGCTGAAAATGGAATCTTTTGATTTGCTGGTTGTGAAGGCAGTCCGACTGCAACATCTGTCATTGATTGATTGCCAGGGTTAATTTGGCTGCTATGACTAGCTAATTTGGTCTATTCTTTCTCTCTTAGGATAGGTGGCTATGTGGATGGCTATATCCTTCCTCTTTATATGTCCCTCTAAAATTCAGTGGTGCCATTTTCCTGATTTAGATCATTAGTCCCATCTTCATATAAAATACCTTTTATATTGGCCTCACAAGTGATCCTAGTTAATTTAAATTATCCAATAAATTACAGTTAAACATTTCATGGATAATTGCATACATTGCATACAATACAATGTGATGTTTTGTTGAGGGAAAGTATTATAAATGTAAAACAGGAGAAACAGAATGCACCATAATTATATACTATATAGCTTTTGACCCACTGCTTTTCTTTTCTTAAAAGCTGCAGTGAAAATGCTATTTAATCAATTGTTTAAATGAGATGTAGTTAATTATCAAATATGTATAAAGAATGTTTATTATGTCACTGCAGAATAGCAAAATATATTCTTTGCAATAAATTTCAATTGTAGTATTTATTGATTTTTGTGAATATTCACTGCTTCATTCATGATATTTCCCTTCAATAATGTATCTTCCAGGATACTAGTTAGGCATTTTAAATGTAGAACTGTGTCCTATACTTAATGTAATAACAAGGGAGACATAAGTGATTAAAATGCTGTTAAATTCAGGGATTTACTTCAATCCATCCAGAAATATATTCAATAAATATTAATAATAATTTCTACCAAATGGTTTTAGTGTTAACTATACCTTTCATGTAAAGTTTCTTTTAAGATGGCAGAAACAAAACTGACTGAGATGTGTTCTTGTATTACTTAAATGCTTCCTCAATAAGCATTTATATAAAACTCTTGTGCAGAAAACAGAGGCACCTAGGTAATTTTATTTTAACGAATTTTAACAAATGCTCCTGTGTTTGTATATATTATACTATTCTTATCTACATATACAAATATTGCCTGTATAATATAAGTATCAAAATAATTTTGACAAATCAACTTCTAGACCTTGTCACATCCAAAAATACACTAATATATTCAAGGTGTTTTTGTTTTCTGCACAAGAGTAGGTGTACCCATGTTTGAAGTCATTGAAATCAGAATACTATTTTCCATATTGTTGTAAAAGAAATTTTGCACCTAATGAGATTTTACTGTAGTTTATTGTATTGTGGTATGTTTCTAGCTACATTTTTCATACATTCAAAAACAGCTGTCTGACATTGATGCTTTTTTTAAACAGATTTCCCCCATTTTTTGATGACAACCCATTTGGAATATATCAGAAGATTCTAGCTGGTAAAATAGATTTCCCCAGGCACCTGGATTTATATGTAAAGTAAGTGAGCTTAAAAATGACTTCATTTTAACTTCTATTTCATAATTATTTTTAAAGTGGGAATGAACAACACTGTGCAGGGTTCATATAGCCCCCAATCCTCTCTCCAGTCAGATTGCATTGCTAAATTTAGCATTCAACCTTGAAACATAAAGTGTTTTCAATTAAAAAAAAATACCAATAATAGCAGAGTTGATCATATGAAAGGCTTATTTCAGCAGTTTGCAATTAGATGCTATTTCAATTTCAAAAACCTGACAATCGTGGCCTCAGCTCGTCAGGTTATCATTATCACATGTCCTACATGTCCTTATCATTATCACATGTCCTATAACCAAGGGGCAAGGGGAAAATTTGTCTTCCTGTTTGATCGTTGAAGGTTTTTTTTTAAAGCTGCTCATATTTTAAAGTGTCAGGTTTAAGACAAATCAGTATATTGAGAATTACATTACTTAAGTTTTGGGTTAATTCACAAATTTTGTCCTGCAGTGTATTATATTCTTAATTTATTGCAGAAGGAGTACACATTGTGGACTGCAGAAACATTAAAGTTTCTTACTACCACTAGCCTTCTTAGTTTTTACATACTTTTACATACAAATCTGCCATAGATCTATTTATTATTTATCATATAGTACATTAGAATCATACTGCTATTAAAAAGCACAAGAGATAAAAATATAAAATATGAAATGTAAAAACTAAACCATAGTCATAGCTCTGACCTGTCACAAAATTCCAAACCAGATCCTTTACAATAAATAGAAAACAGAAGTGCTTATCTTTGTACCAACATCATGGATTCTTCCACTTCAGCTAACTCAGCAGTCCTCAACATTTCTGGCTTGGTGGCCCAGTGGGAAGGGGGGAGGGGAGATAGTTCCATGTGAGTGGCAGGTGCACGTATAGCTCCATTTACACAAGCCCAAGCACCCGTCGCTCGTGCGGCCTGGTTCTGAACCGACCATGGCCCAGTAGTAGGGACCCCTGACTGATTTTCCTTAAATATTTCCTTAAATATGTTTGCATATCCAAGAAGAAGAAGATAGGCTCAAGATCTAGATGGATCTTGACAGACTAGAACACTGGGCTATATCTAACAAAATGAAATTCAATGTAGAGAAAAGTAAAGTCCTACACTTAGGCAAGAAAAACCAAAAGTACACATATAGACTGGGTGAAACCAGGCTCAATAGCAGTAACTGTGAGAGGGATCTTGGAGTCTTAGTGGACAACCAGCTAAGTATGAGGCAGCAGTGTGCAGCAGCAGCCAAAAAAGCTAATGCAATCCTAAGTTGCATTAACAGAGGGATACAATCAAGATCAAGGGAAGTACTAATACCACTCTATAAAGCCTTAGTAAGACCACACCTAGAGTACTGCATCCAGTTTTGTTCACCACATTAAAAAAAGATGCTGAGACTCTAGAAAAAGTACAGAGAAGAACAACCAGGATGATTAGGGGACTGGAGACTAAGGCAGATGAAGAACGGTTACAAGAACTGGGCTTGACTAGTCTAGTGAAGAGAAGGATCAGGGGAGACATAATAGCAATCTTCCCATATTTGAGGGGCTGCCACAGAGAGGAAGGGGTCAAGCTATTTCTAAAGCGCCTGTAGGCCAGACAAGGAATAATGGTTGGAAACTGATCAAGGAGAGATTCAACCTGGAAATAAGGAGAAACTTTCTGACAGTGAGAACAATCAACCAATGGAACAGCTTGCCCTCGGAAGTTGTGGGAGCACCATCACTTGAGGCTTTCAAGAAGAGATTGGACTGCCATTTATCAGAAATGGTGTAGGGTCTTCCGCTTGGGTGGGGGGTTGGACTAGATGACCTATAAGGTCCCTTCCAACTCTGATTATCTGTTAAAATCTAGGTCAGAACTTTCATTCCAAGTATTCCATGATAAATATCTATTTGCTTCATCAGCAGTTCTGGCAGTAAAGTTTTATGTATACAATGAAGAGCTTCAAAGCATGTACTCCAAGTTTTTGGGAGGATGTTAGTAATTCTAAGGTTTGGAAAAAATGTTTTGAGTGGTTTTTTACTCAAAAGCAAATCAGCCTTCTAAATGATATATAAGGCTCTGTAGAGCTGAGCATACATCTTTCCGGTTCTAAACAAAACAAGAAGCCCTGGATAAATTAGGGTGGTTTTGTCAATCATATGTTCCCTTTAATTAAAATTTTAATTAAATTTTCAAGACACCAGAGCTAGTTGTCCTGTTTTTGTGCTAGTTTTGGGATAGACAAAACAAATTAGTTGGCCTCCCTCATCCAATTTGTTCTAAATGAACTACAGGTCTTATGATTTCTAACAAAGATTTTATTTGGCTTTTAGCCAGACAGTTGATTTTGAACATCAATGCCCAGAATTTTCAGTCAGGAGGGCTTTGGGGGTTGTTGATTGAATTTAGAAAAATCTAGGCCCAACATATGTAGAAAACAGCAGATTGGGAAGTATACCTGACATAAAGTTTCACATAGGTTGAACCCCAACGTCTAAGGCAAGAGTGGGCAACTAACAGCTCTTTTATGACCTATGGATTTCAACTCCCAGAATTCCTGGCTCATGCTGGCTCAAGAATTCTGGGAGTTGAAGTCCACAGGTTGTAAAAAGGCCATAGCTACCCACCCTGGTCTAAAGTCCAAAAGCTTATGTGTATTCCCTGTCGTTTTCAAATGGAGCTCAGTGTCAGTTCATAGCTTCACCTGATATTATGTCACAGCCGTCTAAAAGAAGATGATATACTGCTAGTGATGTCTCACAATGAGAATCAGCGCAGGCATTTTGTTTATGGAGTATTCCCATAGAAATGTGTTGCATACAGAAACAAAGTAAATTAAATCTTGGAAACTAAGGCAGAGAAAAGTGTATATATTTCAGGTATTGGTGTTAATATGGAGAGGAACAAGTTCAGAATAATAGCTTGTAAATATTCCATTTTAATTGAAGAATCAGATTTTCATTAGGCCTAATTTCCATATTAAAATTTACATGCTTAATGAGGAGTGATTTTACATAACAATTAATGAATTGCAAAAAAAAAGGGGGGGGGGGGACATCTCATCCATGTTCTGGAGTAGTTGTAGCTGAAGCTTGTTAAACAGGAATACATTTTTGGTTATTTTAAGACATTTTGGTACAGGTTGTTAAAGGTACAAATTTAAAAGATGTGGAATTCCGAGATTTATTTTTTACCAGTTGTGAGAAAATTTCTCACTAGGAATAAAATTCTTAAGCAGAATTATTTGTACTGTTTCCAGAGGTTTCTAGATGAACAACTTTGCATGCATAAAAAGGGCATAAAGGTTGCCTTACTGAAGGGCCCCTACCAAAGTGTGAGTTTTTTCAATTAAGCAGCTTTCTCAAGATTATACTTGTTTTCCTAAACTGTGAAGGACATGGTAAGCAACTAGCTTAATTGCTTTGAGAACTTTGCAGTTGTTTGGAACTATAAAAAGCCCTTTGGGGATGTTTGTGCAGTTCCAGTTAATATCCAGAACTTAAAAGAAAAGATCCTGAAAATTTGAAGGTAGAATTGATTAATCTGTTTTTTAAAAAACAGAAATAATCTGGTTTAAAAAAAGAAAAAAGAAATCCTGAAAGCAAAACCAGACTTTTTTTGGGGGGTGGGGGTGGGGGGGGGGTTAACTTTAAGCAAAAGTTTCCAGTATTGGAAACATTCTATAGGTATAATTTCTTCAGTGAAAAGATAACCATAGAAACGTGTATTTTTTTAAAAAAAAAATCTTTCCTTATTTGTCCAGGGATCTTATTAAAAAGCTTCTTGTGGTTGACAGAACAAGACGACTAGGAAACATGAAGGTATGTTTTAATTAAGAATCTTCTATTCTCTCAGTTAAGGAAATGTTTCTATACTCAAGAACAAATTTCAAATTAAGAAGACACGATGTGGGAGGAGGATCATGTTTTCATTATAGTAAAACTACAAACCTCTGAACCAGTGAATCACTGTTTTGTATTTGACAAGCATCTAACAATGTGATGTTTTCACTTTAAATATAAATTGAAATAAGTTTTCAAATTTTCATACGACAGAGACATTTAGCGACCTGCATATGGTGACCTTGGAATGGAATTTCTAGTCAGTTTTTTCCCCTTTCTTTTCTTCAAGTAATTTTTAAAATGTATATACATAGGCAATCTGAAAAATTACATTTTAATATTAGTATGAATACTGTTGATTGCAGCCACGTAAGCCCTTTCCATTAAGCCTTGATTCTTATATTCAGATACTAATAAAACATGGCACAAAATAATTGCAAACTTAATTGACATACTAGAGGTATGCTCCACTGCAGTATAGTAATAGATTGGTGGAATTTTTACAAAGCTCAAAAGCTTGCAAATCCCCCTTTGTATAAGCAATACTAAAGTCATATCAGCTCATTATTCTTTATCTAAAGAGATTAGAGAATGTGTAAACCTGTAAATCTTAAGGACGGAGTTATGTCCCGCAGTATCTTTACATTTGGTTCTGGACCCAAGAAAAATTCAAGTAGATAAAGTCACCTAATGTGATTTATATGAAATAGTGAATTCATTGTGAAACCTGACATAGAAACCATTTCTAAATACAAAATTGGGACAGATAGATGGAGGAAGAACTATATTCTCTATGTGTAAGATAGCACTTTAGCTTTAACAGTGACACCTAAAATTGGAATGTGGTCAGTGTCAAAGGGCCTGTTTTATTTAAGATCCATGATTTCTGCTAAAAAGGGATCAAAATTGGCAAGATAGTAGACAAACCATTGGGAAGCAAGCCTGTTCCTTTTGACTGCACTTGCAATGTTGATGTGTATACAAAGTGGGTGGGATACTTGCTTCACAACATTCTATTTTCCATTTTGATAATGTTGCTATTAATACTGTCTACAGAAGTTCCTGGAAATCCAGTATTTTTTTTCAGTACCAGAAAAATTGGTCAACTAGAACAGTGTGCATTAGATATATGTCTTCCGACTACATGTGGTAGAAATCAGTGTCTATTTCAGTATATAGACTTCATGCCATATTTTTTAGGAACTTGTATTAAATAAACTTTTGTTTTCCAAAGAATGGAGCTGATGATGTGAAGAGACACCGATGGTTCAGGTCTATAGACTGGGATGCTGTACCACAGAGGAAATTAAAGGTGAAGTACCATATTCTGTTTGGGAAGATATACATTCAAGAAATATTTACTGTATTGAATTATTATGGAGGAGTTTGTATTTAAATACCTATGTGAAAGACCTAATGTGGTCTTTTTCTATCTCATGCTTGAAGATAAAATGTTTACATAGGTGCCATTCTGATGTCCCATGTACATTTGCACTTCATGTGCAGGGAATAGCCATAAGGCATAGCTTCCAAACTAGCCATTCATGGTTGAATAATTTGTCCAATGCAGGATGGAGACTATTTTAGAGTATTGCTACACCTGGAATTAGAACACCATGAATCATAGTTTCATTCTGTAATTTTCTGAAGCTGGAAATAACATGTGCATATTGCATATAGATGATATATTTAATTACTAAACTACAGATAGATGGAAGAAGCCAGGAGAAGATGGCAATCACTATGTGGCACATCACTACTTAACTATTTCATGATTAATGACAACATGCAGTTGAAGTCAAATAATTACTTTGCCTAATGATGGTCAGCAAGTCCAAACTTTTATATTAAATCCATAGTTTGGGGACCTAATCTTTTTAATATTCTATTCAATTAGAATATTATTTTGTGTATATATTATATATCCAGCCTAACTCAATAGAAGCCCGATGGCTTATAATAAAATCCAAAATAACAATCATGTTAAAAGCCAAAAGGGAACTAATGAACTTAATAAAGTTAACAAAACAAGAAAGGCAATAAATAAAATTATTATTGCAGCATTAGATTCTACAGAGATGGTGGGAAAGGTTAGGATTTTTTTTCTCTTTCCTAAAGACTAAAATGGATTGCATGACCTCTGTTGGATTGTATTTCCTACTTTGCACAAGCTTCACAAATATAGCAAGATCATTAGTACACTAATGGTATTTTAACTCAAAGTGAAGAAGGCTGATTTCTCCCAATAGTTTTCTGTAGAAGCCGAACAATATGGGGAAAGAGGGCAGCCCACAAATGAGTGGCCAAATTGAACCACTCTTCTCCCTGTGACCACCACCTGGAATGCCCAATCAAGTAGTAATGAAACTACTGCAGAACAATGTTTCCTTCTTCCAACTTTAACAAGTGGTACAGTTAAATACCATTCTTGATAGTATGGTATAAAAAATTATGTAGACTTCTAATAGGATCAAGGGGTTTGACCTTCCTCCAGGTACCAATAAAAGTCATCCATAAGAACAAACAGTTCCCTCTCACACTTGGACTGGAAGAGATCAAAATCTACGGTTCTAAAATTCTTCGGAGAAACAACAATATTCTTAGATAACTTAAACTCATCCCAGATGTTATTGACAGCTACTATGCCATAGAATCTCAAAAAAAAGGATAAAATATAAATTTTAAGACTCAACTTCACATAAGGTTATTTACACAAAAGTTATGTGATTGTTTCATTCAGCCTCCTATAGTGCCGAAAGTATCAAATGATGGCGATACATCTAATTTTGAAGCTTACCCTGAAGATGACTGGAACAAAATACCACCAGTACCTCCAAAAGATTTAGAAATTTTCAAAAACTTCTAAGTGTGTGATACATCAAATTATTAAGGTATTAGAAACTTGTCTTCCAAAAGCACCATATTTATAAACCAGTGTATTTACAGTCTTAATGTTAAAAGCTTTATGTTGTTGCATGTAGTTAATGTATAAGTCACATATTGATATTTTAAAATTAAAAATAGAAGGAAATGCCTTAAGACTCCATTACTGCCTTTTAATAAAAATATAATATAAATACAATTCTCTGTAATTATTTTGGCTACTGTGAAGACTAGATAGATTTATTTTATAGACATAATTGCATTTATTTTATAGACATAATTGGCTTTTATTTTGCATTTTTATTGTATAAAAGTAAGTATAACTCTTTGCACATGGTAATTAAGGACTTAAAATCTTATTTCAATGAAAAAAGTTAAATATTTACGACAATGGAATACCAGTATATTGAATATTTATTTTTATCTGTTTGCTAGAAATTGAAAGAAGATTGGTGTGATAGGTGAAAACTGGAAAAGAAGAACAGAAAATACTTCCAAAAAATCTTGAAAATGAATATGACTGCATTATGCATAGATATTTTTTTTAAAAAAAAGACATGTTAAAAGTTGAAAAAATAGATACTATTCAGTAGTATAGAATTGGCATTCATTCAGTTAAAAAGATACTGAAGCAGAAGAAAATATAGGGTTTCTAAATTTGAATTTAGTTTTGTTGACCCCAAATTTTATTTGCATACTTATTTCATACCCTAGTTGTATAAGTTGATACTAAAATTGTCCTGTAAAGCACAAGTTAGTGTATATTTATATAATGAAATCAGTAAATCTAAAGCACAGAAACTGTGCAGAAATGTAAATTTTTGTATTTTACAGAGTCTATGGTTTTTATTCTTAAACGTTTTCCAAGATGCTGCCTAGAAGTAAAACAAATCTTGAAATGATATATGTTTCAGCATCTTTATACATTTTATAATTCTTTGTAAAAAGAAATATACACATAGGTTTCGAGAGAATGGTAAAATTTCCAGTGCTTTACACCTCCAGCCATACATCTTGAAAGCTGAAAAATAAAAACCTTGCACAACTTATTGTATGATTTCTCCTTTCAGTATGCATTATATTTTCTTTAAAAATTATGTTAAAATGACATAGCTATTTATCTTAATTCTTCAATATTACATACAATATGAAAGAAGTGTTAATGGGATTAGGGTCTATTACCTTTACAGTTACTTGAACATCATCAAAACCAAGATCCCTATCTAAATACACATTTAGACTTGCATGTCTATTATTAAATGTTGCAAATTATACTAGATAAAACAATTTAAGAGCCACAGTTGAATGTACAATGTTACCTGGCATTTGATATGTTCTTTATATAATTAGGTTTAACTCAGCATTCAACTTAGTGTTCCTTACCTTTTCTTTGCCCTCAGATATCTATATTGGTACCTGCCAATCATCCTACCCCATTTAACATATTAAAATTCTTTTCATTATATGCCTATATACAAACCCATCAATAATTGCTGTTTTTATTTAAGCAACTTTATCCAAAACTGCAGAAAATGAGTGAAAAGCAGCAAGCAAAATAAATTAAAGGCATGAGTTAAAATAAAATAAAATCTACATTTATATTACATAGAGAAGAAACTTATGCTTTAAAGCAAAGTCTAAATTCCAAGACAATATTTATACCCAAGATATGGGACTCTTTTGTTGCATGTATACTCTACATCTGTAGCCATTTTTAGAATATAAAAATGGGCTGGAGGGTGGCAGCCCAGTGTTTTATTTGGAAGTTTAACTACTTGCTCATTTATGAGGAAGTTGTTATAAAAGTATATCTCAAACTTTTGTGTCAAAGATCTTCTAACCTCTGTATGATCACATGAAATTTTAGGGCATGAACATCTGTGAATTTTTCTGAAATCGGATATTCTACATTTTAAAGCTCTATAAGTGAGAATAACTCATGCCATTTGTTGTTGTGCTAGGGGAAAAAAACAAAATGTAGATATAAACTGCAGAGTAAGAGTATATATGAGATACTAATATTAATCTAAGGATTGTTGATTTGCATGGTTCAATGCTAATAGTAGTATTAGGGCTTGAGGTTTCCCAGCTTCCATATGATCTACCTGTGTACGGTTAGAAATCATTTAATATCCTTATTACACTAGTTACTCTACTTTCCTTGCTTGATAACACATTGGTTGAAGCCAAAACCCTCCAAAAACCTTAGCTGCCACTTTTTGTGGACACTCTGTTTTTAAAGTGCACTGTAAAAAATACAAGGAATAAGGAATGATTAGGTAGTTTCCATTTAGGACAGCCTTGTTTATCTACTACTCACAGGTGTGGTGATTAAACCATATCTTTACAACTAATCTTGGTATTTATGACATTTGCAGGTCTATAAAGCAAAGGAAAACTGAAGTGAGATAAGCATAGTTGAGATTTCACTTAGCAACTCCTTTGCTTTACGACCAAGTTACTGGTCCCTATTGTGGTTGCTAAACATGGACTATCTATAGTATCCTAATGGCCTTGTACATAGCAGTAGGTGCTTTCATTTACACAATTTGGTGAGCCAATAAGCAACAGAATTGATACATAAAGCATTTTTTTTGTCTGGATAATTTAACCTTTATGAAATGTCTACAGGTGAAACTCAAAAAATTAGAATATCGTGCAAAAGTTCATTTATTTCAGTAATGCAACTTAAAAGGTGAACCTAATACATGAGATAGACTCATTACATGCAAAGCAAAATAGTTCAAGCCGTGATTTGTCATAATTGTGATGATTATGGCTGACAGCTCATGAAAACCCCAAATCCACAATCTCAGAAAATTACAATATTACATGCAATCAATAAAACAAGGATTGTACATAGAACAATATCGGACCTCTGAAAAGTATAAGCATGCATATGTACTCAGTACTTGGTTTGGGCCCTTTTTGCAGCAATTACTGCCTCAATGCAGCGTTGCATGGAAGCTATCAGCCTGTGGCACTGCTGAGGTGTTATGGAAGACCAGGATGCTTCAGTAGCGGCCTTCAGCTCTTTTGCATTGTTCGGTCCCATGTCTCTCATCTTTCCTTGGCAATGCCCCATAGATTCTCTATGGGGTTCAGGTCAGGGGAGTTTGCTGGCCAATCAAGCACAGTAATCCCACGGTCATTGAACCAGCTTTTGGTGCTTTTGGCAGTGTGGGCAAGTGCCAAGTCCTGCTGGAAAATGAAGTCAGCATCCCCATAAAGCTCATCTGCGGAAGGAAGCATGAAGTGCTCCAAAATCTCCTGGTAGACGGCTGCGTTGACCCTGGACTTAATGAAGCACAGTGGACCAACACCAGCAGATGACATGGCTCCCCACATCAACACAGACTGTGGAAACTTCACACTGGACTTCAAGCATCTTGCACTGTGTGCCTCTCCATTCTTCCTCCAGACTCTGGGTTCTTGGTTTCCAAATGAGATGCAAAAGTTGCTCTCATCAGAAAAGAGGACTTTGGACCACTGAGCAACACACCAGTTCTGTGTTTCTTTAGCCCAGGTAAGACGCTTCTAACATTTGTTGTTCAGGAGCGGCTTGACGAGGAATACGACATTTGAAGCCCATGTCTAGAATCCATCTGTGTGTGATGGCTCTTGATACACTGACTCCAGCCTCAGTCCACTCCTTGTGAACGTCCCCAACACTTTTGAATGGCCTTTTCCTGACAATCCTCTCCAGGCTGTGGTCATCCCTGCTGCTTGTGCACCTTTTTCTTCCACACTTTTCCCTTTCACATAACTTTGATACAGCACTTTGGGAACATCCAACTTCTTTTGCAATTACCTTTTGAGGCTTTCCCTCCTTATGGAGGGTGTAAATGCTGGTTTTCTGCACAACTGTCAGGTCAGCAGTCTTTCCCATGATTGTGATTCCTACTGAACCAGACTGAGAAACCATTTAAAGGCTCAGGAACCCTTTGCAGGTGTTACGGCTTAATTAGCTGATTAGAGTGGGGACACTTTGAGCCTAGAATATTGAACCTTTTCACAATATTCTAATTTTCTGAGATTTGGGGTTTTCATGAGCTGTAAGCCATAATCATCTCAATTGAGACACATCACAGCTTGAACTATCTTGCTTTGCATGTAATGAGTCTATCTCATATATTAGGTTCACCTTTTAAGTTGCATTACTGAAATAAATGAACTTTTGCACGACATTCTAATTTTTCAAGTTTCACCTATATGTTATGAATTCAATTGTCCTTTTAAAAAAAATGCCAAATAGTGTTTACAATCAGAATCATGAATAGAACAGTGCATAACATGAGGACAACCTCAAACCATCAAAGAAACTGTTTTTCCAAAAACTTTCCTCATGGGTGATTCAAGGGCTTTTCCAGGGTGCTCGCTGTATGTATGTATTGCTTGCTTCATTTGCATTCCCAAAAGGAGTAGAATTAATGTCCAAGTGGTCCCTCCGTGCTTTTCTTCAAAATAGGAAATGACATTTCTGTACCATCAAACATCACCTAAGTAGTGAACAATAACTATAATCATGGCAATAAGTGTAAAAATAAAAACCATATTGAAGAATTAAAATATAAAAACTTCTAAAAGTCAAATCACAAAACGGTGCATCTGAAATTCCTTTTCGAATCCTTTTTTTTAGTTCTGAACTGCAAGCATTCCATAATTCCAGAATGATTATAAAGCTAAAAAATGAACCTTTATGAGTGATGGTATCTCAAAAAAGCTTTTCCTGCAGATCTTAGTCAAAATGGGAAAGGAAATGACTTAGGTAACACTGAAGCTGTCTAGAAGTTTAAATAGTGCAATAGATTAAGGCAATTAACATTAAATACACAGCAATTAGTTGTAAATGGATAGCTGCTATGAGCAATATTTCTACTCATTATGAAGCTAATTTGAATTTACATCAGGGCTGTATTTTATAATCTGCATATGAGACCACTGCTCCACTGGAGTCAACAAAAGCCTTATAATAATTGGGTAGTGAACATCCTGCTTATGACAGAATGAATGTTAGCTCCTTTTAAATCACCCTAAAGCCTTATTTTATTAGAATTAAAATTATTTATGGCTATTTATACTTGAAGAGGAAGTTTTATCATATTAGAAAAACATGATAGATTCATGAGCAAAGCCAAAACAACTAACCATTAAAATGTATACATTGTTTTTAGAAAACCTATCTGGATATATCATAACTATTCATATGCTATCTGTACATTTATTTAATGTTGATGAGATTGCATTTTAAGCAAGGTTATGTATAAAGTAATTTTAATCTATCAAAATTAGAAACTAAACCAAGTTTAGCTAAAGGACTGGATCTTGAAAACTGCACGAATATAGCAAACCAATAATTTTGGTACATGGAAGAATGTCCATTAATTCTTTTTACTGAAGAATTTGTCAGCTTTCAAGAAATGTAGCATAATTCCATCATATTGTACTTTGTACAGATTTACTATAGTTTGCACTTTTCTATGGCAAACATCTGCTTTATAAATACTGATGTACAGTTAAATGAATTAGTTTCATCTATGTACAAAACCAAATTGATAATATAAAATATTCAAGCTTTACTGATATCAGATTTCCTGCAAATTCGGTCTCAAGTATATAAGTACTGTACAAATACATAAATCAGTCCTCGCACAATGAAAATCACTGTGATTTGTAAATAAAACTCAGTCAAAAATATTTCTGTTTAGTGTTATGATTACATGATTAATATATTAAATATAAAACTTTCTGCTTACAGAAAGGCAGATTACAATAAGAAAATACATGTGTGTCGTAATGGACTAGGGAGTGCAGATGGAGTTAGTAAAAGACTATATAGCTCAGTTAAAATGATTTGATTAGATAGTGCCCTGGCAAACTCAACATGTAGAGTGATTGAGAA